GTTGTCTGGAGGTAATTTTTTATGGAACTTTACCAAATTTGATTACTTGGTGCTCATGAGGAAAACAATTCACAAACTATCAACGACCCGTAACGCCCATTGCATTCTATTTATCCTGTACTTTATTATGAAAAAAAAATTTAATACTCAAGACTTCCTAAACAAACAGTAGAAACTTTAATTATATATATATTTTTATATTATCTGAAAACATTAATTCGATTCTTAATAAGTTTAAATGATGAAAAGAATATTGTGATGGAGATAACCACATCAAGAAATTAAACTCTCAAATGCAATGATGGATTATCCTATACCATATACTAACCTATAGTATAGATGCATCTTCAAAAAAATCAATAATTGTATCACTGGGTTCGATTTCCCCTCTTTCAATATCGCTTATATTTTTACGAAAATGTCACTAAACTGAATAACTCTATCTCACCTTGTTACAATTGTGTGTATAATTATCATAGACACCACGTATTTGACATGGAAAGTGCACCTCAAACATCAGACAGAAAACAAAAACAAATGGCACATCATGATAAATAAAAAATTAAAAGATAATAATTACTTTTGCATCTCACTTATGACTTATTGTATGTATCAAACCCAACTTGAAGTCTTCAATGTAACAGTTGTATTACAGTAACCCCACCACCTCTTTTGGATGTGCAAATTAAGTAGCGAAAGCATTTATATTTCCCAACCATAATTTGAGAAAATTACTCAAAGTGAAACAGACTAAAAACAGCAACCAAGAATTTTATAAATAAATTATATCAATATAGACTTTTCTGTTAAAAAAAATATAAAATTTAAGGCTAGGGCTATATTATTCAATTCTGAAGAGAAAAAAAATCAAAGAGGTCTTATTTATAGCGAGGGACAACGTGAGATGCAAAAAGTGGGGGAAAAAAAAAAAAAAAAAAATGAAAAGATGGAATTCGGAACTATCTTTTTAAGGGGTGAAACAGTAATTAAAAGTATATGTGAATAATACTCGGGCATTCAATTCAAGGTTGGATCGTGTCCTTGAAAAAAAAACTGCAACGTAAATAGAAATCTATGTGAATTGTAGGCTTTACGGCATGTCTAATGAACAGAAAAATCATTAATTTGTGCAGTAAGAAGTGAAATAATTGACGAAAAAGACAAGTTATAGAGCCCGTCATTTTCTTCAAAATTATTTGACTGTAGACATAGCCAAAATAGTTGGCAAGCCTCCTAATTAATTACCAGATTAAATGAATAAGGAGCCTCCTAATCACCATGATCTGGGTTTTATGCTAATTTAGGGGTGGTTACCAAACCCAACTCTATATATCCACAATCTTCACGGCTCCTTTTTTTTTCTTTTTTTTCGGTGGTGTGTGTTAAGTATTTGCAATTCATCCAATTAATTTCAAAAATAAAATTCAATACTCTTTTATTCATCAACTAGACAATTTAATTACATTGACAATCAAAGCACCAAAAATGCAACATCAGTTTTTGGATGCTCTCAGCTTCTTCGCTTTTCTCAACCTAGCTTGCTTCTCTTCTTGCTGAATCAATAGCCGCTCTTTTTCATCCTCCTTCCTGCCAATTCTTTCACTTTTTTTCTCTTCTCTTAGAATGTCATCAAAGGTGGACACCATCACACTATCATCGTCCTCATCCTCCTCCACCCTAAAGCGCTTGCGATGTCTCTCCTTCTCCTTCATCACACAAGAAGGCTTCTTTGGCCTCTCTTTCTCTTCCGGATTTTGTTTTCTTAGAGTCTTCAAATCTCTCCCAGAGCCTCTTCGTATCCCGCTGAAACCCTGATCTCTTTCTTCATTTGGCTTTGGGACGGAATCTTTACCAAGTGCAGGTTCTCCTTTTGAAGATTTCTGAATTTCGGCATCGTCTGAGAACAAAAAGGAGTAATCCCGGGACTCTTTTATGCTTTTACACTTGAGTTTCAAATCGACAGGAATCTTGAGGCTCTTTTTACCCTGGTCTTGGGAATTTCGAAAAACCCTAGATGCCAAAACCTTTAACTCCGGCATTAAAGCTTTGCTTTCTTGAATCACTCTCCGCGCAATGGCATGTTGGGAGGGGCCAAAGAACGATCCGAAGTTGTCACAAGGCATCTTGTTCTTCTCATGAGTCGAGCCGTCACGAACAGACACCACCACCTCCTTGGCATGATTGTTTCTGATGCGTTGTTTGAGTTGCTGCCTTAGTTGAAGAAAGTCCAATTCCTTCTTCGTAGAAGAATGGAAGATCAATCGTGCCCCCATCTCTACAATATTCAAACCCTAACTTGGTTTCAAAATCACTGTTTTGATTTTCTCACAGTGATGATGATGATGAAAGGAAGAGAGTGTGTTTGCTGTGATATGCAAAGGGGCCAGTTCTCTATTTATACATGAGCTTTGTCGGTTAGTGTTTCCAAATCCGAGTAGGACTAGGAGATTTATATATATATATATTTTTGCAAGCCAGCTAAAAGAACGCCTCTTTTTTCGGGTTTCCATTTTTTAAAGTTTTTGTAATCAAACTTTGGAGGGGCAAAATGGAGAATTTCAGGAGGTCCCAATAAAATTCTCCATTTTGTCCTTAGAAGGAAAAGGAAAAAGAATGGTTGAATGGGTGATTGGTAATTTGGTATAGTGCCATGTGCAAAATAAGTGGCAGAAACATTTATATTAACTAGACAAAATAAACAGCTAAAGAGAGTGATGAATTATGCTGACATGGCATGTGGGACTCGTTGGTTTTCTATGTATAAAGCTTGAAGCCATGTATGGATTGTTGGTTTTCTATTTAATTTATATACCAAAATAATTTTTTTCAAAATTTAAAATTAAAAAAATTAAAAACTGCAAGTTTACACTCTCTAAGAATTGTAGGCTTTAAGTCCCCCATTTTCATTTTGATGATTAATAAAATTTTCCCCGTATCGTCGAGGTTCCCTAAAGAAAATTGTAGACATTATATTGAATAGATAAGTATAAACCCACGGGGCTATCTTACTTATCATATGTATAGCTCATGTCTAACTACATATGCCAGCCACATTAATTCAATTTATTTTTTAATTTTTTCTTAAAGTATTTGAAATTCATAAAATACATCTTATTCATTTCAAAAACACAAATTCACACGTGAAAAAAAAAGTACTTTTATTTATCAACTAGACAATTTAATTACATAACAAACAATTAAACCAGAAAAATCTTAACGAAATTCAACATCAGATTTTGGATGCTCTCAGCTTGTTTGCTTTTCTCAACCTAGCTTGCTTCTCTTCTTGCTGAATCAATAGCCGCTCTTTTTCATCCTCCTTTCTGGCAATTTTTTCACTTCTCCTCTCTTCTCTTAGAATGTCATCAAAGGTGGACACCATCACAAAATCATCATCCTCCTCCTCCTTCTCCCTAAAGCGCTTACGACGTCTCTCTTTCTCCTTCATCACACAAGAATGCTTCTTTGGCATCGGATGTCTCTTCCCATGAACTAGTCTCTCTTTCTCTTCCAGATTTTGCTTTCTTACAGTCTTCAAATCTCTCCCAGTCCCAGAACTTCTTTGTATCCCGAAACCCGAACCCGGGTTTCTTTCTTCACTCGGCTTTGAGGCAGAATCTTTTCCAAGTGCAGGCTCTTCTTTTGAAGCTTTCGCAACTTCGGCATTGTCTGAGAACAAAAACGAGTAATCCCGGGACTCTTTGATGCTTTTACACTTTAGTTTCAAATCCGTCGAACGAGATTTTGTCGTGGCCGAGGCAGGAATCTTGAGGCTCTTTTTACCCTTGTCTTGGGAATTTTTAAGAACCCTGGATGCCAAAACCTTTAACTCCGGCATTAAAGATTTGCTTTCTTCGATCAGTCTTTGTGCAATGGAATGCTGCGAGGGGCCAAAGAAGGATCCGAAGTTGTCACAAGGCAACTTGTTCTTCTTATCAATCGAGCCGTCACAAACATACACCACCTCCTTGGCATGATTGTTTCTGATGCATTGTTTGAGTTGCTGCCTCAGTTGAAGAAAGTCCAATTCCTTCTTAGTAGAATGGACACTGAGTGCACCCATTTTTGCGCAACTGTTGATATTTAACCTAACTTGATTCAAAAGCAATATTTTCTCACAGTGATGAATGAAAAGGTAGAGAATGCGTTTATTGTGATTTTTGCAAATGGCCAATTCTCTATTTATACACAGCTTTGGCGGTGCTTAGAGTTTAGGTTTTGTATTTCCTAATTCGAGTAGGACTACCAGGAGATTTTTATTTTTCTTGCTTAATAAGTAAGGGTTGGTATTTCCTAATCCGGGAATCATTTTTCCCAAGCCAGCTAAAAGAACGCCTGTTTTTTGGGTGGGTTTTGTTGAGTTGTCTTTTTTTCTTTTTTCTTTTTTTTTTCTTCTTTTTTTTTTCTTCTTTTTTTCTCTTCATTTTTTCATTTTTCTTTTCTTTCTTTTTTTAAATTTAAAAAATAGGATAAGCAATTCGGGGAGTGGGTATACACAAATATTCATTAGTTAGTGGGGTTTCGAATCTCTACCCACATGGGTGGTGATGGAAGAGCTCACACCCAAGTTATACTTTTTTACCTTTTTTTTTTTTTTTTTTTTTTTTTTTGTGCTTTTGGGTTAGGTTGAAAATCACCATTTTGCCCTTATAAGGAAAGGAAAAAAGAATTCTCAATGTTACAAAGGATCTCAAGTTTTTTCTAATAGAACAAAAGATCTCAAGATTTTTTTAAAAAAATTTATTTTATTTTTATCAAAGAGACAAAAGATCTCAAGTTTAAATCATGCTTTCTTGTTGAGTAGAGGTATCATTTTATTTTCGTTGCTTCAATTTGGGGTGATTGGGTGACTACTGGTAATTTGGTATATAGGAGAGGAACTGAAGTCTAGCAAATAATCATTTCAATAACGTGATTGACTTTTCCAATTGGAAAATTATGAACTGATAAAATAAATAAAAAAAGAGAGGGCAACATGACCAAAGCGTTGAAGAATCTCCTTATGAGGGTCCAAGCAAATGCAGAGTTGCATTGGAAATCTTGTTAAGAGATGACCGAGGGCCTACCAAAGAAAGAAGAAAAACAGAAGTCACCACAAGACGGCAGAAGTGAAGAATGAAGACCTAGAAATACCTTAACTCATTGGCAATCATTACAAAATTACTCATTATGGGGCATCCATTCTTTGACCCAAAATAAAAGAAAAAATAAATGTGAGCCAAAAAATAATAAATAGAAAATAAAAAGGTGCACGACTTAAGACGATCACAAGCTTTTGTTAGCACAATCTCACCATGAGCACTCTTTCCTTGTATGCGGATTTTCGATAATGATACTTCTTTCAAGCTTAACATGGTGCCAAAGCAGAGCAGGCGTATCTTAAACATGGGTTGGCCTAAAACCAAGCGCCCAACAGAGTGTTAACATAATCTCTCATCCAAAAGCACCCGGACACCCTTTTCTTATAAACCGGTTTTGTGCGGGTGAGTTCCGCCAGGAGGTTTAACAGCTTCTTGCTTCATGTAAAGAGAATTCGGATATCTTATGTCCATATTGTCATTAGTAAGTGCTCAGTGGTAAACTGGGAAAAGGCTATGAATTTTTACTCTTTGATTTGGTCTGCTGAATAACCAAGGTGGCATAGATAAGCTCATTCCAGGCATCAGGGACCCCAGGAAGGCACCAATGGCTACAGTCTTGCTTCCTTGTGGAAACTTTTTTGCCAGCAGTTGCATTCTTTCCGTAGATTGATGGATGGCCATCCTTGCGGAAATTGGTCAACCTTGTCACATTCAAAAGTTTCACAGGAACCCGCATTTCTTTGATTACTTCATCCACTATCTTCATTTTCAAAGGATAGTTATCAAGTATGGCCCCACTTAAGACTGGTTCTTTTTCCCCATTGCATGATCCACCTGAATCCCAATCTCCTCCTCTGCTTTCCAGAGTTTGAAATGAACAGAAATTATAGATAAGTCAAATACTTTCCATAATAAACAAATAAATCAATTATATGCTACTTCTCTCTCAAGTACTTAAAAATTTGTTACTAAGTGTTTAATTATCTTAAAATTTTGTTCTGTTTCTCATTATAGTAATTTCAAGTTGAATGTTGAGAAAGAATGTTTCCCAACACTCAAAAAGCAAATTATATACAGAACTCTCTATTCTAGTTTGTCTGATACGAACTGAACAAAAATGTGAGAGATGAAAGGATTAAACAGTTGAATATACCTGAAATGGGCAGAAGAGTACCCACGATAGAAGATCAACTGCTTTGATGGATTAACATTACGATCAATCCAGCTAGCCCAGGTCCTCAGAGCCCTTCTATAGGCCTCCGATGCATCAAACTTTGGATAAATATAATCTCCCTCTTTATAGTAGTTTTTCCTGTAAGAAATAACTGTCATATTTCTACAGAGTTCCGGTATATTTTGCGAAAGTAAAAATGGCCAAAAGAAGAGATCATAAACCAATCAACCAGACTAGGTGCCAGTTAGTTGCAATCTATAAGCTAATTGAGTATTTTTCTTGGTAAGAGATCGAAGGATACTATATCAGTTTTCAAAATTTGAATATTGACAGCATTCACATTCTATGGATGATCTTTTATTGTCTACCAGCCAAAAGAAAAGAAATGAATAAATAAACACCCAAAACAAATCAAAGTGATTATCACAACTGAATGAACCAGAAAATAATATTTCAATCTGCAGAACAAATGTAAGAAAATAACATTATACTAGGTAAATATTAGATAAGCTTGCAAGCATACCCACGAGCAGTCTTTCCATGAGTCCACCAATGGCCGGTATTAAAGACAAGAATGTCAGCTCTTTTCCAACGTTTAGCTGTCTTATCAATTTGATCTATCGAAAGAGTTGGATTTGAACTCCCTTGAGCATTAATGCGGACTCCTTCCTTTACAAGGAAATGTGACCTCACAAATTCCACTGTACAGTCATAGTCCTGTCCAAGATTTTCAGAAAACCTCATAATCAGTAACAGTACCAACTGATCCATTATACTCCCTACAACTAAGTTGAACTTAAAATGAGTATGATGTAATTCTGTGTACTGAATAACTAGTAAGTTAAAATTGGATTTAACTTAGATAGTTTCAGCCCAAATCAAAATATTGTAATGTCAATCCTAAAACTAAATATGGAGTGTGTTCCAGAAGGTAAGCTTTCACCCAAATATGGCAGAAGTAAAGTTAGGATGACCAAACACACATAGACTTAGCATGTATAATGAAAAGTAAGTTCTAACTAACATGAAATAAAACCAATTGGGCTATGGGGAAGCTGCCAACTACACTTTACAATCAAAGCTTAAGATCGGTACATGTAATCAAGAAAATAACTTACCGAAGTGCAAACTATATGCGTGCATGAACTAGAAATTAGTATCGCAATGATCTAACCTCAAATTTGAAAACATAGTAGCCTCTTCCCTTAGTTATTTTGTGGCCGTGAATTTCATGCATTCTGCTCTTATTATGCAAGCCTTCGCGGAGGAGGCAAAGGATTGACTCAAACTGGTTCCGGTTCATGGAATCTCCTACCAGCATCAATCTTTTACCACGTAGTCTCACCAAGAAGTCTGTTGCATTAAACCTACAAGTGACGGTGAGTGCAGAAACAAAATGTATTCCAAGAAAATTGATAAACTATCATGCAAATAGAATCAAAGTAAAATGGGAGACCAAGATAATTATTCAAATATGAAATAACTATATATTGGGAAATCATCTTCAATATTGTTTCAAAGATAGCATGCTACATACAAATGCCGTTAAATTGCAAAAAGGCTCGAAGTGGAACTAGTAGCATAAAATTTGAGGACTATGCATACCCTCAAACTCACTAAAACTGTACCTCTCAGATCAGAATAGGAAGAGCATAAGTTCTTTAAAAATGGTCAGAGAACCAAATAAAGCAGCAGAATTCAAAGAGCCAAACTGAACAATCATTATATCTCTAGACAACATTTGTAATTTATTTCCCAAAACTCAACTAAAAGTTCAATTTGTAAATTCTATCTGTAGACAACCCATTGTGTAATGTCTAATTTTCTGCCCTTGATATATGTACTTTTCCAATATTTTTCGTGGCACATCATAAGAATCACTCTTTTTGGCTATAAAGCCTACACCTTGCCACTAGAAATTCCTGCAGCAAGTAAATTCTTCCCGAGAAGCACAATCAATTTTTTTCCATATCTTATAAGATTCTTTCCTATATATACATTCTTTTTCCCCCATTTTGTTCTACTAATTTGCATCCAATTCAAGCTATTTCTTTGACTTCTGATTGATCTAATTAACATTTGGGGCCTTTATCACTAACGGAAGATACTTCAATAATTCTTTATCATAAAACAAAACGATTTTGTTCTGTTTTACCAATTAAATTGACTTGCATTAATCAATTGGAGAAGCACTTTGGTAAAAACAAAATGTTGTATACAGAATTTATTACTGCATTCTACGCTAAACAAGGAAACTCATCTTTCTTTTTCAATTTGTTCAAACCATATCCACAGCCTTTTATACAGGCACTACCAATTTCCTACTGACAAACAACTAGATTTGTTTGACATAGTCTCGATAGCCCTGTGGCATAATGGCATAGGTCTCCTTGAATTTTGCAAAGATGTTTTTCAAGTCGTGATTCAAATCCATGTAAGGGTAGATGTGCATCATCCCTGGTGTGGAGCGTGATTCAAAAAATGGTAATTCAGCAAGTTGGTGATTTTCTAAACATGGTTAACTAGTCCAACCTAGATGTTAGTAGTCTCCTGATCACCTCCCGTTGCATCCCTCGCTCATTCGGTCAAACCACCAGTCACATCCGAGGGCATCACCTCTGTAATCAGATCTGGATCCAGTTCCAATTTCAGTTCATTGCACCGTTGCACCAAACTCAACATGCTGCCCTTGATCACCTCCCATCACATCCCTTGATTTATATAACTCTATGTACCTTACTGAGCTATAGAAATCTAGTATACGTGCATGAATTTTCACTCTCTGACATTTACTGAAATGAGATTCCAAAGTTCATATTTTATCACTAGCATCAAGCCCTTCCCCATGATGGAGAATTATCAGGCTGAGCTTTTAATGAGCTCAGGAATAAGGTGAAATTAGGAAACCTTCTAGGCATGAAGTTGAGATAGGGCTGAGCTAATCTGTCTTTAGATTAAATAAATGGCCAAAGCTCCAACCTCTGATGGAAATGAGCTTGGGCAGGGCTTTCTTTATTACTAAATCCTTTTCTATGGGGACTCAAACTTGGGACTTCTTACGATGTGCATTCTGACAATTTGATTTTTCAAGATTGCAGATCACTGATTGAGAAATTTCATTTGCCCACTATGTGATTGATTCATTCAATTTCTCATGGAATTCAAGCTTGTTAGACAAGTATGCACATTTTTTGGAAAAGTGATCAAACAGATACAGCACAATATCAATGGATGCAAGGCAATGGTACTGACAGCCAATAACATGGCCAATGGAGGTTGCCATTTCACAATCCAAAAACAGAGGATTTAGAAATGCATAAACCAGAACAGAGTTTCCGTTTGTGATGAACGTCTAGCATTCCTTTGCTCATTAAGGTTTCTTCGTGGGACAAAACATATTTTCTGTATTATCTTTGTCCACTACCCATAAAAGTTTTCTGGACCTCATTCTAGGAACAAGATTTCTTTAGAAAGCAAGACATTTGGCATCATAATGGGTCCTACATTGTGATTGAGCTTGGTGGGCATTCAAATTAGATACCTTGATGTTTTAATTGCAGCAAGTAGACATGTTCTTCCTAAAACAGATCGGTGGAAGCTTTCTTAAATTGAAAATATTATCCATTTTCAACAATTGACAACAGACCAAAATAAAAAAAGCATAATATCCACAGAGAAAAATCACAAAGATAACGACTAAAGCAGGACAGAGATACCTTGGAAGATCACAGCCCTCAGGCTTCCACCGCCATTTGAGATACTCAGAGTCACTCCTCCCATTGCTTTGGCAATCAAAAGCTTCATCAACATAAGGGCAAGAACTGGGTTTATAAAGCGGGTAATGCTCATCCTTCACCCAAGTCCCCAGATACAAATCACACCCTGTTTCACCCATTTCACCAAATGGGTTTTCATTTTCACGACCTGGGTCTTGCTCAGTTTCATCATTGAACTCCGTTGGCTCTTCCGTTTGTGAATTGGATGAAACGGGTTGTTGGGTTGGTGGGTCCACTGGCTGTGAAGAGATAGAATGGAGCAAGGGCAGTTGGTAATTACTGCCTGAAGAAGAAGGTGGGTCCACTGCTACTCTTTCGGTAGATGTGGAGTTGGGCAGGGAGAGGTTGGAATTTGGAAGCGAGGAAGAAGAAGAAGAAGAAGAAGAAGAAGAAGAGGGGATTTGGGGAAAGGGATTTTTGTAGAGAGAGAGAGAAGGCTCAAGAGCTCGTTTGCTGAAGAGGAGGATGGTGAAGAGAAAGAGGGTGACGAAGACGAGAGCGGTGACAGTGCAACGCTTCTTCTGGGTTGAGGAATTGGAAGCCACTGCCATTTCACACCATTTGGTTTTGACAGTGAGTGAAGTGTGGAGGCTGCATCGGTTTTTCTGTTATTAAATTTTCCAGGCAAGTTAACAGGGACGGAGAGAGAGAGGCAGTGAAATTCCCAATGGAGAAAGGAATTTTCGTTTTTTTTCTTTTTTTATTGTTCTATTAAACATTATTTTGTGCTCTTCTCACGTGCCTACCTGGTCATGAGAATTCCAACATTGATTTTCTTTTTCTTTTTTTATGGTTGTGGAATGTAAATCTTTCTTTGCTTTTCAACTAGTCTTTTGCATTCATATTATGTACAACATAATTCTATCATGAGCACTCTTGCCATATACGAACACTTTCAAAGTTGGAAAGGTTTTATGAGGAGCCTATATTTTCATTTGGGACTGCAGAAGTTTGTATGGAAGTGTAAATTTGATTCCTTTTTAAAGGTTGAATTAGGCTTTTTCTTTAGCAAACTTCCTCGCTACAAGGGAATTTCATATAAAGCAAGTTAAGTTCAAACAAATGGTGGAGGACCAAGCCAACTTTGAAAAATGAACATATCATGATTTGTCAAAGTGTGACATCAATTCATTCATGTTATGTACGTGTATTTATTTATTTATATTGTAATCTAAGTTCATGACATGTAAGGAAATGATTTAACGACTTTGAATATATACATCTCCTATACAAAACTTGGCAATAAATGTTGTGTTGTATATTGATCTTTTATCTGTGTTTGAAGATTAAATCATATGTAAATCAAATTTTTTTTTCTTCTTCTTTCTTTTTTCCTGCACATTGAAATCAATTCACAAGTTTTATTTTTTGGTCGAAAAAAGGAAATTTCATTAAACATGAAAAATATATGCATTAGACCAAACAAAGCAACAAATCTAGGTAAGGGCTCAATCGCCTTGCTCTGCCACTCCATGACTCGAGATATGCTCACATATCCCATATCCGCCAGTCCACACGCTCAAGTTCTACTCAAATATTGTCAATCCGCCACTCCACGACTAAAAAATTGAGATAAATAGTGTACAGTGGATTAAATCATCCTTATACCACCGCACACAGTAAGTTTCATACATTTGACGAATGAACAGTAAGTTTCATACATTTGACAAATGATGCGATAATTAGTGATGACTGTCCCCCATATCATTCTATTATTATGTCAACAAGAAGTATAATAAATGAATGATAAGACATGACGAAACCCTAACCTAAATTAAAGATTAATTGAAGTGACAAGTGTCTAAGTCTTGTTGGCACTCCGGCAAGGGCACCGGTAGAATACATTACAGTTTACAAGGTTGTTTGTCTGAGTATCTCTTTCTCACCCATTCACCCAAAAGACAACCAAATAGCAACTAACAAACCTGACAAATTTCATCATGTATCAATTCAAGCGAAACCCTAATTAGCAAATGACGTGCATCACAAGTTAATGTGATCAGAACAAGTCACAATCTCATCACCCTATATCAATTAATATCTGCATCTGTATGTCCCCAACAAAACATTAATTTGCAGTTTTTCCTTTTGCTCTGGGTGTCAGCTTTTGACACAAGGGCTTTAATAGCTCTCATGGAGGAAAGAGTCCAATGGAGACTGGTGAGGGTTTCTCCTAAAACACAAAAGAGCTTTGGACTGCATGCCTTGGGGAAAGGAATCAAAAGGGTATGTAATATGTATGATATATAGCTTAGCTCTAGGCAGGCAAAAGAATGTTGTGCTTTTAATTTGGGATGTGAGAGCCCCTTTGACTTCAAACTTCAAACTTGTTCAAAAAGAATTCTGTTTTGTTTAACTCTGTCATAATTTATTAATTAGTGGATGGCCAATGACTTGAATGCTGCAGAAAGGAATTTAATGAGGTTTGGTGAGAGGCTTTCTTCTGTTCTTCAAAGCTACAGAGATGTTGATTTATCACTAGTCTTTTACTGTATATCCTGAGATACCTTTAGTAAATGCATGTCCTGTTAAAATCCCCCTCTCATTAGCCCTCTTTGTATTTCTCTTCAAAATATATATATATATATATCACCATAATCCCCCATTCCTTTTGCCTCTCTATCTCCCTCTCCCAAAGGTCGCTTTTGTATGTGCTTTGTGGGTTTTCTTGTATATTTGTCTTTGTTCTCTTCTGGGTTTCTCTGGTTTATATATGGTTCCAAAGTTTTCCTCTCATCAGTGAATTCAACGCTATATATAGCTAGTCGCAGTGAGTGTGTTGCAATGAGATTGGCTGAGATTACACTTTTGTGCCTCTTGGTTTTGGCTTGTATTAGATCAAATGCAGTTGCAAGGTCCAGCTTTTTCACTACTTTTGATCATGATCATCATCATGATGATGTTGGAAAGAGGATGAAGAGCTCATCATCAAATGGAAGAGTGCTAGAAGCAGCAACTTTCAGCCAGTACTGCAAGTCAAAGGGGCACCAGTTTTATGATTATTTTTTTCACTCTAACTCTAAGAACACCACCTCAGAAAACAAAAGGGTTGTTCCCACTGGTCCCAATCCCTTACATAACAGGTAAAAAAAGTGATGAAGAAGTAGCCAGCCTTGATGTAATAGTAGTTAATACCTTCATATATGGAGTATTGGCATACTGCTTCCTCTATGTTGAAGCTTCTCTCTCTAATTTGTATTTGTATTTCCTTTTTGTTTATCTAAAATGTTAGTGATATAAGTAACCGAGAGTTTTGTTTCTTATGATGTGTATGTCTTTATGTGGGAAAGAGGAGGATATTGGTGTGCTTCTGCATATTGTTCTAAGGAAAAAGAAGTGCTTCTGTTTTGATCCATTGCCAGCATTATATAAAAAATTTTAAAAAAATCCTGAAATGGAAAACTTCATTAATTAAAAACTTGTGTGATAAAAGGATTAATTTCTCTGCATCAGCTGCTCAACATGCCAGCCTTCGTTAAATTCAAAGCTACTTTTTACCTCTCATGTAGATTTTTCTTCAGCTTCTCTTGGTTTGTCTTATTCTTTTGTCATTTTTGTTTTGCAATTTTTTCGTGTGAAATTTCTCTCTTTCTTCCTCCTCGCTCATTGTCTCTGTGAGGCTATATTAGGTCGTATCCCTCTAAACAAGGCACAGAAGTGCGGGGACATTAGGTCGTATCCCTCTAAACAAGGCACAGCAGTGGCGGGGACAGCAGTGGGGTATGGGGGTGCGCATGGTGCAGTGGGAAAAGTCAAGGTTTGGGTTTGACAGAGAGGAGGATGTTGGGGTTCGTGTAAGGGAGTTGAACACCTATTTAAAATCAAGGGGAGAGAGAGAACATGATTTGGTTATGATTGTGTTATTTTGGTCCAATGTGACTTTGCTTTGTTTTTTTTTCATAGTCACCTACACAAATGGATGAACTTAACTACAGTAAAACTAATTTTAATCCAAGTGAGTCAAAATGGATTTATATGTCAGGATGTCATCTATAATGCTATTTAAAGAGATAGAGTCCGCAAAAATTTGTAACTCAAGTGATTGAAAGCAGTTACAACTCCTGCATCCGGAAGTCATGTGCTCAAATCCCCCTCCACCAATATTGCTTATACTGAAAAAAAGAGATGGAATTCATGGACTACGGAACAATATTTGTCACATCAATTATTGAATTTTTATTTTATTAAAAGATGCCTTGAGTTCGAAATTAATGAATTGACGGTAATTTTTGAATAAATAAAATATATATACATCTTTGCATAGTGTGAATTTTGCGTTGTGTTTCGTTTGGCTACAATTAAATGTAGAGTAGTGTGTAGAGAGAGGGACGCCTGGTCAGACAGTTGGTCTTTTTGCTGAATGTCAGACTGTAGGTGACAATAAGTTTTGACAATGCTTTCTTGTTTACAAAAAGGACGCCCCCCAATTACTAATTTGGTGCGAGGAACAAGAAAAAGCTGCAATTGGGCTGAACTTTACTTCTCACACCAGGATCTCTACATTTTCAAACACCAACTTTGGCAAAATACTCTAGATTTTTTAGCCATGATGTTTACAACACCAACAAAATCAACCCTAGTCAGACATAAGATTATCTATATACAAATCATTGATTTAGTCATTGAGCTTAAATAGAAAGCTGCTAAATGATTTTCAAAATAGATATTCCAAACTGAGATTGCAAGCCATCCTGCTTAGGAAGAATCTTGAATCTAAGAATGTCTCAAATGATTGTTAAAAACTCAACTTACATAGGAAGCTAAAACATCTGTTCTGAGCTTCTCAAAAGTGGTTCTTCAATCTTCACCCCTTAACATGTAACATCTTTCAAATCTCCCATATGCAAGTAACAAAATATTTACCACCAAGTAACCCCATTTTTCTAAAAAAATTAAAGATTAAATAGACATATGTGTGAAAACTTAAGGATGAGAACAACAAAAAAACCAATAATTTGTAGCTAGATTTGAAGTTTTACCGTGTGCATGAAGCCCTCATACCATTTTGACTTTCCTTGCAAGACAGGAAACTGCCCTCAAGTTGGTGGTTTATGTAATGAGGTAGATTCACTCTGAAAGGGAGAAGGGAAGACCTCAGATATTGTATCCCAAGAAAGGTTCTGATCTTTCGTGTGTCTTCGTTCTAAGAAGGCAGGTTTCATAGGTGTTCCAATCATTTCAACTTTGCAAGTTAGCATTGCTACAACCTCTGACATTGGGGGTCTCAGCTTTGCATGAGGCTGAAGACATAAGAAGGCAACTTGGATTGCTTGCAAAACATCCCTTTCCACAAATCCATTTTCATGCAATTTTGGATCTACTAGCTCGATCACATTTGACGTCTCGAATAACTTCCATGCCTAAATTAATAAGTGAAATGGTCAGTGGCAAGACTTCCAACTATGCTAAAAGAATCATTGAATTGCTGTATAAGTAATAATTGGTGAAGGATAAAAGGCCTACATATTCAGGGAGGTATTGCATTTCTGTTGGTAAAGTGAGATCTGTGTTTTTTCTTCCGCTAATTATTTCTAGCACAAGAACTCCAAAACTATATATGTCCGCCTTTTCGGACAATTCTCCTCTAATGGCATATTCCGGTGCTGTATAACCTCTGCACAAGCAGAAAAGAGACAGTTAAAAACAGAAGGAAAAACAGAGAAGAATATTCTTAAGGCCTTTTTTTTAGTTTGTCCACCAGTTGCTGGACTGCAAGCAAATTGTGTCATTCCAACATGCATCTAAAGCATAATTTCCGCATCTACTTAAAATCATCACCAGATGGACTTACTCTGATGACGTAAAATCTTCTAAAACATCTTAAACATGTGGTGAATACTAGAAATTTACTTTTGAACTCATAAATGACTGAAGTGCAAGCAATTTTTCTTTAATCTGTTTATCCTTGGCTCTATAGTTGTGAGAAATAACAAAACCGATGGCAGCATGTTTGTGAAAATAACTATAACCAGCAGCAGTGAAGGAACTAAACCAGTTCCGGTAATAATGCGCAGTAGAGGCATAAAAGACCTTCTCATGATTGTGATTCTTGTGGTACATAACAGTACTTTTCTTTCAAAGAATTATGCTTTTTCTTTTTGTCTTTCTTTCTTCCTTTGCCCATGGGAGAAAAGGTCTAATGTGCATTACCAAATCTTGAACAAATGTATAGAACATCCGTCTAATCAATGACTCATGAAGGGGCCTTATGGAATAAAATATTTGGTGAAGGACTTACAAAGTTCCAGCAAATGTTGTACTGAGATAAGCTTGGTCTTCAGGAAAGAACCTAGCCAGCCCAAAATCTCCAATCTTTGGTTGGTATTTCTCATCAAGAAGAATGTTGCTTGCCTTGATATCTCTGTGGATAATTCTTAGGGGAGAATCCTCATGCAGATACTGTAAACCTCGAGCAATACCCACAATTATCTGGAACCTGGTGCTCCAGTTCAGGAACCGATCACTTTTTCCTGTTTTCCATTAAGAAGAGTTATAAGTAATCATCAAAGTTCAATGATTTATTGCACTATGTCTAAGTGTCAAGTTTCAGTTAATCTGCTGATCGAAGGAAGTAGATCTTGGACATGAGATCAGAAAATCAGCCCTTGAAACATGTTTGCAGAACAAAAGGATTGACAATTCATTAGTAAAAATAAGTAACCTTCACATTTAGATGGATTGTTCAGAAATAGAGATTGCTTTCGAAGAAGAAAATAGCGTACACTTGACTCAGCCATCTGATAGGGCATTATGAATTCCCAGAAAATATATCCTCAAAAAAATTTCCAACTCTTCCAACATCATATCAGATAACAAAACAGAAAACTGAGTCTCGAAACTATTGGAGTGGTACATCCTGAACAAAAGCTAACATTTTCTCATCATAGTTGGAAATTCAGGTTTGGCGGCAGACTGTACATTTACATGCAGTTTTTGAGGACCCTGAATCCCTGATGATGGCTAATCATTACCTACAAATTTCCTTCTCCATTTATGAAGATCAAAGGAATTACATTTACGTACATATGAATCATCCTATGCTAAGAGCAAAAGAATTATTTTAGTTTCTTTCATCTGTCTGCTTACTTTTTAAATTTTTGTGTGATAGGAAAAAACTTTGTTAAGTGGCAAGTGGATACCACCAATATATAAATAATGCAAAGTATTCAAGAAGTAATACCATATACTATGAGGTCCAAGCTCCTGTTTTTCATGTATTCATACACAAGCAGCCGTTGAGGCCCATCTGTGCAACATCCGATAAGACGAACCAAGTTCCTGTGCTGAACGCTAGTGATCAACTTTACCTCTGTAAGAAATTCTGATTCTCCTTGTTGAGATTTGTCAAGGCACAATTTCTTAGCAGCAATTAGCCTCCCATCTCCTAGTTTTCCCTGACAAAAATATAGAAAGAGATTTAGAAATGAAGGACTCCCATCTGTTCCTCAAAATCCCAAGAATGTGCTCTTCCAACTCCGAACAGAATGGTGATGAACATATAAAGGCGCAGAAAGCACCAAAAGTTTCATTTTTATTTTTTCCAAGTATATTGTCATTTCAACTTATCATATCATATGTATTAAATGAATCTTAATATTTGATTTTGAAAAGTTAAGCAGCCTTGCATCTACACTATTGAGACATTTTAAAAATCTTATGAGTTAATGAAGTTATATGTAGAAACTTGTGGTTTGGATGACTGTCTCAAACTTGCAGGTTCGGAAAAAAAATAATTAATGAAAAATAAATAAAAAACTAACACCATTGGTTGCCATAGATTCAGTAATAGTACCCGATAGACAGGGCCAAATCCACCTACTCCAAGGAGATTACCGGGATGAAAATTCTTGGTTGCCATCTTCAATGTCCGGAAGTCAAAATAGCTTATTGTTCGAAGGTTCCCACTGAACAAATCTTTGGATTCTGCATTAAGACAGAAAGAAAAATATTACAATTGAGGTCTTACCAAAATCTTGGTTGTTATTTTTTGAAATTAATCTGTAGCACAACCTGGCTGCCTTCTGGCTCGTGCTACCAATTTCTTAAGCTCTTCTGGTTTGATCAGTTTCCGAAACACGAATATCAGA